ATTACCCCAACTTGGACCTTTGGTGCTACTAAAATGTTGAAGGCAGTTGATCCTGATGCTCAGGTAGCTCTAGCAGTAACCCGTCTCCATCCTGAGACCTCTCCTTTCCTGCTTCGCTTGGTGTCCCCAGAACGCTTTCCTGGTTCTTATGCTGTTGTCCTAGACCAGGCCCAGAGGTGAGGCTTGATAAAGTGCTCAGGGCAGCTTGAGCTGCCGAGATGGGGTTGATAAAAACCCTGAACTTTACTTTTTCTTCATGAAGATGTGATTTGGGCTCTGCTTTTGGAGCTGTCCTTGCCCTCCCCTCCCAGCAGAGCTGGGATCAGTTGGGTCCTCTGTTAGAGTGAAGCCCGGGAATCAGACCTGGATCCCAACCCTTGGGGAAGGTCATGGGCCAGCTCTCGTCTCTCCTGAAGCAAATTCAGGAATGTTCAAAGTCTCCTGGAGGCTGAAGCAGCCGACTGCAGCCTGCCAGGGCAGCATGCAGAGGGTGAGAGCCGAGGGGCTTTGGGATGCACCGCGGTGGGGTGTGTGGGAGCGGCTTAGGCACAGGACCCTCCCTGCTGCGCAGGGCAGGGCAGACCTGGGCTGTCCCACTCATGGGGCAGTCGTGACGCGGTGTCACCGGTCCCACAGTGCCTGTACAGATGCGTCGCAGATGTGGAGCTGGGAGTGCAGCGTGCCGATGGCGAGCGGCAGATGGAGCTGGTGCTCCGTGGTGTGGTGCCTGCCTGGCTTTCTGGAGAGCGGCGGGGATGGAGGAAGTTGGCCGGGAAGCGCCCGTGAGCAGTGGTGCCGCAGGAGGACTCACCGCACGCCGGCACCCGGCCAGGGCCCGGCCTTCCTGCCCGTGCCTTGTCCTCAAAGGATGCCCCGGCTTGCGGAGGTTCTGCTGGGCTTTCACCAGGGCTTTTATGCTCGCAGTTGCAGAGAGCTTGTCCTGTCCCGTGGGTTGCAGGGTGATCTCTGCAGTCTCTTCCGCTTCCCAGCGAGCGGGAAGTGCCCGGGAGCGAGCCTGGGCATGTCTCAGCGGCTGATACTGTGCTTACAAAGAGCCCCGACTTGTCCCATTTCCTGCAATTCTGGGCTGCATGCTCTGACTCCTTGTGCTGATTCATATCGCTTATTTATTCCGTTCCCCTCCGAGAATAAAATTAACTGCGTGCTCTGCTCGTTGCTCTTCCTGGTTGCTTGTTTAGATCAGCCCCGCAGAGGATGCTGCCAAACGCTGGCTCCTCTGCGGGTCTGGTGCTGTGCAAAGACGTTCTGGGGTGAATGTAACTGAGCTGCCGTGACCCTGCACTTACAAGAGAGCTGCAAAGATACCTGGCACGAGGGAAAGTTAAAGAGAAACAAAATGGGGGTTGTTTTTTCCTAGTGAATGCATTGAAAGGGTCTTTTCTGGGTGCGGGACGTGTTTATAAAACTGCTTGCGCAGGAAACCCCTAGAACTTACTTTTCTTAATGTCCTAAGCAAATGTGGTCGGATTTAGCTACAGGGATTTACTGAAAGCTGCTACACAAATAAATAACAAAGTACAAAATTAGCAGCAGATCAACAAGCAGTGGGGAGAGGAGAAGACCTCGCAGTCCTGGAGAGGCTGGCCGGCTTGTGGCTGCGGAAGGAAGATTCAGCTGCTCAGGAGTTTGCTTTGCAGAAGTGCCTAACCAAAGGGTGGGCAAAAGACACAAATTTTCCTGTTTTCTTTGGCAGGGGAGGGAAGGCGGATGATGCTGTGTCTGGAGTTTCAGGAGTTGTTTTCCCATGATTTTTGTCCACTGGTGCTTGGCACCCTGCTCATTTCAGAGGTGACTGGAATTGGTTTGACGTTTTTTTCTCCCTGCTCAGCTGTTTCCTATGTGCTGTGCAGACTTCAGGCTGCCTTTGCTGGATGCGGCAGGGCAGTTACAGGTGCTGTATTTCTCCTCCATGCTTCTCCAGTCCAGCCAGACCCCGAAGCTGCCCGTACTGAGCTGGGTTGGGAGCAGAGCATTATGCATCCCAGTGGCACTCGTGCTGGTGGTGCTCAGCTCCATTGTATTGGGTTTGCATGGCAAAGTTTTGGTAGCAGGGGGGCTACAGGGGTGGCTTCTGTTAGAAGCTCCTAGAAGCTTCCCCTGTGTCTGATAGAGCCAATGCCAGCCGGCTCCAAGACAGACCTGCTGCTGGCCAAGGCTG